GGGGAGACAATGGTTGCTGATCAAAGTCGCCCTCAATATGCCTTAGAACGAACATGAGCTACAATCAGCTCATTCTCCTACGTAAATGTTCTGTACGGTTATCAGCCTTCTGCTTAAGTGCTCTGTACGGTAATCATAGCACTCATCAATGCACTACCGAATTCACTCCAGCTCTAGTTACGGCTGAACCTAACATACCGACCGGGTTGCGAGATAACCCGGTCGCGATACAATCTGGCGTGACAGCTGTCGCGATCCTATCTGAGGATCTCTCTCTAAACCCAGCTGAGCCAGGCACCATGAAGCATGTCAACGCTGTACAATCATGTCACACTCTCCCCTCCTGAACCGTGCACCCCCAACTTTCTAAACACGGTTCACTCTATTGTTCCGACCGGGCTAATCAAAGCCTGTGCCGCCTGACACCTGGGGCAAAACCATTCGCCCTCCGGAACCGCCGCCAGCGGAGGAACCAGGCATCTCGTGTGCCAGCCGGCCCCGCACCCGTCACACAACGGCATCGAGGCCTCGTCGTCAGCCCGCCGACACTCCGTGCACGCGAAGTCGACTGTGGGCCGCGCCAAGCGCGCATCCTGCCGGTCGTCGATGTCGGTTCTGTGACAAGGAGCGCACAGCTCCATGTGCACCCGGACCGTCCGCGCGTCCGCTCCCTCCAGCTCCAAAACACCCCCGGCTCTCACTTGCTTGACCCGCAAAATCCGCGGTCCCGCTCGGCTGTCCAGGGTGTTGAGCATCTCCCGCTGCAGGTAGACGTAGTCACCAACCGCGTACCTGAGGATCTGGGGCTTCCATGCGCCACTGCGGGTCTTGGCGTACCGCAGCGTATCGCGGTGCTGCGCAATCTGCATGTTTCCCATGGCCATGGGAACCCACTTCCGGAACAGCGCTGCGCGCTCTGCCACCAGCGCCCGCAACCTGTCGGGCCGGTCGAGATCCAGGGGCTCCTCCAGCGCTGCGCGCACTGTCCCCGGCAACACCGGTTCCCGTCCGAAGAGCAGCATGTACGGGGAGAACCCCCCGAGAGACGCCTGCGCGCTGAACCTGTACCCCATTGCGACCCAGGGCAGGTACACGTCCCATTGCTCCGCTGCGTGCCCAAGGCACCACTTGCGCAACGCCCCTTTGACCACCCCCACTATTCGCTCGCTGAGCCCGTTCGCCTGCGGGTGGTGAGACGAGGTCGACCGGTGGTCTATGTGAGACCGGTCGAGCAACTCCTGAAAGACACCCCCGAACTCTCCCCCCCGGTCCGTCACTATTTCAGCGCATGCCCCAAACGTTGTCAGCACTTCCCGGGTGAACGCCTCCGCCACCGTCTGCGCTTCCTTGTCAGCCGTGGGCACGATAATGAAGGTGGTATCTTGAGACTGCATAAAAAATTTGACTGTCTACTTAGCATGACTGCCACAACCGTCAAACTCTATTGGAAGTAATCGTGCAATCATGATACTATATAGAAGATAAACATGATCCTATTAACCCTGCACCGGAACCAGAGGTTGTTACCAGCGACTTTGCACAACTTTCAATGACCCGGCTTCTCAACTTTACACGACTTCTCACAACATAGTTTTCCGCCGGGCGGCAACTACGTTTCACGTTCTTGACAACTTTCACCATTAGAAACCTTACAACCTTTGGAAAAATCATTTTTCAAACATTTGTGTCCACATGCTTGCAATGCTACACATCATTACATGACTGTCCCCAACTTTTCAAACGACACTTTCATGAGGACTGAGCGCTAAAATTCTTGGCTGCATTAGATCGATGTGTTCATTCCGGCTACTCTCTATAATTGCAGCGAGTACCTCCTAGCCCATAACTAGTTTTTTTTTTCGGATTCATACCTTTCCACTACGGTATCCCATGCATGTTCCTTGACGTCGGATTGGTCTGATAAGCGCAGAATCACCATTGCCATATGTATGCAGTGAGCAC